CTTCTTTTCAACATGTGTCAGGGTTGTTTATTGTGTATAAAGCGTGTGTGTATTTATGGTGGGAGTGAAGGGGTGCACACGTGGGTACAGGTTAGTGAATGAACACAGACTCTAACAATAGCAATATGATCAGAGGCCCAGAGTCACCACACTTTGTGTATCTGTCAATCTGTGTTCCCTCTCACTGTCCTCGACAAACACTAATCAATATCTGTGGCCTAGATGAGAGGCCTAATCTTCCCCCTTGTCACCCCCTTCAGTCCTTATCCCCCCCAGCCCCCCGTCTCTGCATTGTCTTGCAGCAGTCCCATACTTTCTTTGCTGTCCCTAGGCGTAGTATATACATTAGCACAAATACACTTGGCCCCATTTTTTAAGACTTCCAAGACAGGTCAGAAGTGGGGTCAGAACTATAGTTTGGCAAATTAAAAGCAACGCTACATGCTCCAGTGTTCATATACAAAGTGATGTACACTACAGAAAAGGACCATCTGCAGCAGATACACTTTTACACACTAGAGTGTGTCACTTGGTGCGTGAGCGTTCCTTAACGCACATTAGAGCCAACCGTTTGTATGTAATTGCCTGTACAGGTTTTTCAGGAAGAGGCCTCTTAATCCAGTTTCATTCTTGGCTGTCTGTGGTTTTATACATCTTCCTTCAACCACAATTACAAGCGAAAACAAGTTCAAGTAAACTTCAGTAGCGCTGAGTTGAACAAAAACGCCAAAAGGATCCTGGTCGGAAAAACTCTATAAACATACAACCCAGGCAGAAAAAAAACAGAATCCTTCCATTTCGGCTCTTCGTGTGATTTGTGTTTGTTTTGTTTGGGACAAAAGAGGCGGTAATCCTGTCTCATATTTGACACGTCTCATATTCACACACACCTGCTGTAAAAGTAAACACACCTTCAGAGTCAGACACCTTAATGGATGACCCTCGCATTAAAACCTAAGTCAGGATAAACCCTAAAGCAGGCATGCTGACATGATATGGTAAAGAGACATGCCCATTCCGGATATGAATGATGAGAAGTCGAACTCATGTGAACAGTGTAGTCTGTACATAGGTCGAACAACAACATGGCCACAGTGCTTGGCAATTTATCTTCTCCCCATTGTTAATAATTTCACAAATTAGTTATTAAAACACGCAGTATGTTATTTCTGCCACTAAGGGTTCTCTCACATCAAGGCAATAACAAAAGACATAGTCTGATGAAGTCCTGAAGTAGCATGGGATCATGGGAGTTGATGTCTTAGACAACCACCATTGCTGATGAAAATCAATTTGACACTCAGAGAGAAAGTGTTCACGGACAAGGTAGTATATGAAAGTTATATTCATGTTACGTTTAGTCATGTTCTCCGACTTCCTGGGATATGTGAACATGAGATATGTCAACATGAGATATGTCGGATATGTGACATTCACCCGGAAGTTATAGCAATTGTTGGCAACATTTGGAATAACGTTAAGTACTCAACCAAATATATAACAAAGGTCTAGTGTGTTCACATTTTATGCAGAAATGTTACATATTATATTTTTAAAAAGTTTGACTTTGACAGGTGTTACTAACATATCCTTCAACAGAGACCTTCTGTCTCAAAATAAAACCAAAGCTTTGGCTAATGCAGGAAAACATATTTTTTCACTTCAAATGTAATCTTGCACCCTGAGTTAATTTCTTTACATACCCTACCCTATGGCAGCTTGGGCGCCTGATAGTTTAAAAGGCCTTAATTCAACTCATATACCTGCTCTTGACATAAACACAAACAACTCGCTGCTGGGCGGATGCAGTTTTTTGAGTGGCAGCATGCTTGCCTTTGAAGCATTTCCCACTCAGCATTCCTTGTGGTTGTGTAAGGCATGGTGATTCAACCACAGCTATCATTAATGAGATATTTGCATCATGGAACAAGTCTGTCAGTGCTCACATACGTTCAGGCAAGGGCGAGGGAAAACTGGGGATGTACTTAAAAGATGAGTGAGAGAGAAATGGTCAAATGTGATTTTCTAGTGTCTCTGGTGAGTGCTGTCAGTGAATGAGTGAGTGAGTGAGTGAGTGGGTGAGTGAATGGAGAGGAGATTGAGAGGACGGTGCAGTGGAGAGGGATGGCCCTCAGTGGGTCAGCCCAAAAGCCCTGACCCCAGGAGGATTTGATGCCATTTTCCCACGCAGGGAGTCGACCTGAGAGGAGCTCGTTAACAACATCTGCCCCAGTTCAGGGAGATTAACCCCCACCCCCAACCCCCGCACCTCTACACACTCACACACATACATACACACCGCTCTGCTGTCAATCTCAGTACCTCACACGAGTCCCACTGCTCTGGACAGGCCACTCTAGGCCCCTCCAGGCTCAGCTCAAAGGGCCTCCTGGAGATTCCAGCCACAGCAAATCAATACAGTCTGACTCTATCATAGGTGCAGTCCCTAACCACACACATCAATTCATCCATTACATTCAAACTATGTTGTTGGGTGATGTCTGATCAACACATCAGAGGAGGTTCCAGATTTGAGTCTGAGATTATGTGAAGAGTTGCGAGTTTGTTCAGAAGGTGTGTCCCTGCTGGAAGCTGCCAAGCCAGTCCAGCAGGCGAGTTAGTGATGTCACCAACGTCAAGTCTGTCAGCCAGATTCGTGTAATGAGTTTTCCACTCATCACGCTGACGTAAAAAGGAGTCTTCTATTGCTCTTACCACCTTTTTCACATATACTCCCACAAGACATGCAACTGGTAGGGTATGTTCTGACATAATATGACGATAGACACGTAAAAAAATAAGATCAGCTGAAACACGGCCCAGAGCACTGCCGCTGTTAAGCTGGAGCCATGCATGCGCTCCACACATACATAGGTGCGCATAGACACACGGTGGCAAAATCCATTGGGAATCCGCTGAATCCATGTTCTACAGGGCTATAATTAGGTTAGTTTTTGGAGAGGGGGTTAAACAAACAGGGGCTCTGAGGTCATAGGCAGATGGAAGTGGGATATGCCTGCACTTGCTGAGTGGGCACAGAGCTCCACATGACAGGAGAGAGGCCCTCTGGGCGCGCAGCAGGGGGAGAGCGAGGGGGGATGGGGGGGGGGGGTGGTGGGGAGCCCAACTCAAGATGGCCTCACTGCCAGAACATTCAAACACAATCAATGGTTATGCACGGCCCAGCTACACACCTCTCCCCAAACCTTTCACTCCTAAATTATCATTACATGTCATCACATGTGCAAATCCCAGCAATCACATAGAGAGCAGAGTTTTACTGAACCGAACCAGATAGACATAGTTCACTAAAGCGAAATGTTAAAACTATCAGTTGTTGAGCAAAAGCCTTAAAGTTTTGGTTGAAAGTTAACCAACATTTTGATGTATTGATCAAAGGAGTTGTGCAGGTGAAAGCCATTGGGAGGGAACATAATTTTCAGAGTTGAATAAATGACTAAAACCCATCTCTCTGTCCAGCCCACAGCAAGCACTTTTGACACTGAGGAGCAGGAAGAGAAAAGCTGCTTAATTACAAAAAAATGAGTTGGAAAGTGTGATTAGGTGATGGGTGGCTGCTGGCACGCTAGAATGACTTAAGACCCTGTCAGTGAATGCAGGGAGGTCTGGATAATCTTTCCCTCCACAAAGGTGCGTGGGGCTAATCCAGGCCGCTGTGCTGAGCTGTGGATCAAGTCCTACAGGGAGTGTGGGAAGGCCAGCAGGACCGCCACTGCTTCGGCCCTCTTGGTGGCCAGAGCTTATTTATCCTTAAGTACACTGCCGGCCCATTCTTCCACACACCTTTGCATTATTAGAGTGTCAGCCACAGTGAGTGTGTTGAGGGAGGTTAAGCTTATGAATGTGATGCAATTTCAGTATAATTTGCTGAAAAATTAAATCCACCATTTAGATTATATTAGCTTGAGTAATCAGGACATTTTAACAGAACAAACTCAGAGGTAGACGGATCGCCAGTGACCAGCGATTTCAAAATGTTCCAGATGTAAATGAGCACAACAGAAGTTTCTCTGTCCATATTAGAAATTATATATAGGACTACATTAGAAAATCCTATGGCAACATGCTAAATATTTAGGATTTAAATATTTAATTTGATTCTTTAAAGTCATTATATTATTGTCTATGCCAAATAGTCATAAATCAGACTTTGGTACATCAGCACCAACATCCAAAGGAAATCTACAAAGCTTCCAGGTGTCATCTCTTGTGTTTCATTGGATTCTTTCTCTAAGCTTACACCACTTTTCAATGTGAAGTGATCAGATGCTTAACCCATTTTTTTGTTTTAGTCTTATGTATTTAGATTAAATTCATTTTAAAAAGAAAGACCCTTAACTGTGATAAAATGAATTAAAAAACACATTCATATTGACTGAAGCAGCAAAGTGATGACAACCTGTGGAATTATATAGCCTACTCATAGTCTGTTTTCACCAAGTAAATATTTAGAAAATAAGGGAGTGAATTGGGTAAACGTAAGAAAAGGACTTAAACTCCATGAGGCAATTAAAATACACTTTTTCACAAACTAACTCAAAAAGGAAAAAAAGATACTACCATATTTTTCTATTAACCTTAATCCAAAACTAATGAGCCAATGACAACGCAGCAAAAATATCAGAAAATTCAAAGGGTGTAGGGAATTATGTAGAATTCATTCTTTATTTTAATTCTTAATTTTAAGTGGACATTAAAACAATACCAAGTAATTTATCTTTAAAGCTTGTAAAGAAATTGGAAAAACCAAACTATTTGTGCAGCACCTTTTCCATGAAGAAAAACCAGTTACAAGTGAAAATATCACTGTACTGAGATTATCAAAATAACAGATTGTCATTCAGGGTGTCCACACCTATGAAATAATCTCTTTTCAATTTTATGCTTCCTTGGGATACCACCTACACTCCAGAGATTTTAGAACAAGCAAACTCATATTTGCGAGCCTCATATTACACACAAAAGACAGAGTCAAAAAATCATGTTTCGTACAAATTTATTCAGCATTTAAGAATAGAGGATGGTTTTAAAATATGTAGAAACGTCAGTTTAAATAAACCTTTTCGTTCAAGATAATGAGTAAACATGACACTGTCAAAACCATCACAGAAAATAACATTTTACAAAAACAAATCTGAACATTTTTCACGTGACAAAACATCGGGTTCACAAGCTAAAAAGAAAAAAAAAAAAATCTTACTATAAATAAAACTTGCGTTTGCGACCCGCACAGTCTTAACATTTCATTTTAACCTAGGTCATGAGGGGGGGGAGGAGAAAAAAGAAAGAGAGAGAGAGAGACAGACTACAAAATTTGGACACAGTCGAGACAACTGACACTCTACAAATTAAGTGTAAACATTTATGAACCAACTTTCCATCCAGCTTTTCAGAAATACACCAGCCTCTCTTAATGAGGCCACATGCCTTTTCATAGAGAGAAAATATGGCATTAATTAAAATATAGAAGTCCAATTCTTCTACATACGTTGATTGCTTATACTTGTGATAAAAAGCCTCTTTGCAATGCAGTTTACTCTGATGGGCTCAACGTTCAGCTTCGGGTCCATTTTAAAACTCTTTTTTTTTTCTTTTTTCTTTTAAAATGGACAACTCAAGAGATGTTGAGATAAAACTGTTGAGCGTTGTTTCTTTAGCAACCAAAAAGTTCAAGTATCCGAAGTACTTTTTTTTTTTTAAGTTTGAAGTCTTTTTTCTTTCTGTTCCTCTCAGATGTGGGTGAGAGGTAGCGTCCCATTGACGCCAGTCCCTGCGGTCTGATAGTGCGGATGGACGCTGTGTAACCGGCTGCTCTGCAGGGAGGAATGCTCCGCGCTGTCCCCGCCGGGGGGCAGGTACATGCTTATCATATCCCTCAGGTCCCCCAAACACGCCCGCTGAGAGTGGGACGTGATGGCCGGCGGCGGTGAGCTCGGCTCGGTCTTGCACACGGACGCCATGGAGCTCAGCCCCATGGCGCTGGAGGTCTGCTGCGTGTACGCCGGAGACATGCTGTACGTGGAAGCCGCGTTCATGTAGGTCTGCGCCGAGGACATCATCGGGTACTGGAGCCCCGCCATCTCGTACCGGTGCATCTGCTGGATCTGGGGGCTGTTCATGCTGTGATGCTGAGGGTAGGCCAGCTGGTCCTGCATGAGGGAGTACGCACTGTTCGTCCACCCGTTCATGTGCGCGTAACCATCCATGCGCTGCCCCACCGACACCGAGTTGTTGACGGCGTTGGCTCCTGGCGCCAACAGTCCCCCTGGCAAAGAATACTTGTCTTTCTTGAGCAAGGTCTTGGTCTTCCTGCGGGGACGGTATTTATAATCCGGGTGCTCCTTCATGTGCATAGCGCGCAGACGCTTGGCCTCGTCGATGAATGGTCTCTTTTCGGCGTCGGTCAGAAGTTTCCAGTCAGCCCCGAGCCGCTTGCTGATTTCAGAGTTGTGCATTTTAGGGTTTTCTTGTGCCATCTTCCTCCGCTGTCCCCTGGACCACACCATGAAGGCGTTCATCGGCCGCTTCACCCGCTCCTGGTCGCTGACACTGTTGTTCTTTGCGCCCTGCGCAGAGCCCGAGTTGGACTGCGGGAGCGGGGTCTTGATCTCGGTTTCCATCATGTTATACATTCTGGCGACTTTTAGTGTTCACTCACAGGCACATAAAAAAAAAAAGTTCACAAAACAGCGCCAACAGTCAAAGAGGTAGAGATACTGACCAGTCTCATAAGATGGAGGAAAAAAAGTTGTGCCCAAAGAGGCAAATGTGTCTGCAGGTGCTTCTGGTTTCTCTCCGCTCAAAGCTGCTCTGTCCCCCACGGCTCTGAAACAGAAGTCTGTAAACTTGCTCGCCAAGCTCATGTGTTAATAGGCCTAGTGGCCGGACCATGTGATGTGGATTGACAGCATGACAATGAGGAGCAGGCGACCAATCAGCGCGCAGCTCCCCATACCCACGGTGTAGCCAACCAGAGCACAGGGCGCTGTGTTTTGGTCAGAGGAGGAGGGAGAGGTAAAGTTTTAAACCACAGCGCAGCTCGAAAACCTAAGCGCTAAATGTTAGAGATTTACAACCTTTATAATCCGAGAATAAAGATGAGTGGTTAACGGAAAATGCACTCGATCGATTTTTGTTATTGAACAGGTATTGGCTGATCGCATCAGGATCATTTTCGGAACAAATTAGACTAGATTAGATCAAATTGTTACTTTGTTAACTTTTTTTCTCTACATTTTGGGACTGAAATTGTTGAATAAAACAGAAAGAGTCAAACCTTTTAACCCAAAAGTTATAAACACTGTGTAGAACCATCAACCTAGGCTATAGTACCTTTTATACAATTTATTTAAAGAGTATATGCCATCTATGTAATGTATGCTGCAGGGAAACACAAGTCTTAGGGATCAGTGTCAAAAAATCAACTACAGAGGCAAATCTCAACAGGCAAAAAAAAAAAAAAAAACACACCTAAAATAAGTTTAAATAGTTCAAGCAAAAAGTGGAATATTGGAATAAAATGTGCCCTTGGCAGAGAGAAATCCTTTCATCTCCACCTGCTGTCAAACATGCCTTTTGTTGCTTTAATCACATTTTCAGAAAATATTATTTCCTATTTTAGGGATTTCAGTGCTGTCAAAGCCTTCAAGGCAGCGATATCTTTTTTTTATTTTATTTTTAAACAGAAATCCTTAAAATATTTCAGAAACCTTTGTGGACCACCTACTCGGAACTTTTTCTTAAGATCTATTTATTTCTGCTTCGGCGTTGTATGAATTTTCCATTTATATAAACACCTTCAGATGGGCTTAAATAATTTAAATAATTTCCCTCCAATATAATTAAACTCTAACGTGGAAATGTACTGAAATAAAACAGAATAACGGCAAATAACGATTAACTACACCAACGTGTTTTATAAAATATGCCAGCAGTACTCAGCTTCAGATGAAGTTAATGGGCACGTTAATGTGGATGTTGTTGCAGTGTGAGAGAGGGGGAGGAGGAGGAGGGGGGAGGAAGGGAGAGAGAAAGAGAGCCACAATGCAAAACTTTAATGCATCAACGACCTCTTGTGGAGGGGACGGGCCATCTCTTTAATCCCAGAGGGGAAAAGTTCCCTCGGTTTGTGTGAGCGACTGCGGATCGCCAGCTCCTGTTTGCCAGCTCCTGTTTGCCGACTAGTTTTCCCTCCGCGGTGTTAATGGTTATTAAAATGATGACTTCGTTTTGCATGTGTCTCCTTACAAACGACCCTAAACGCCGCAGAAAGCCATCGCTCGACAGGGCAAAGCCTCACACCTGCTAATGATTCCGAGCGGATCGCCCATCGAAAGCGACTATTAACACCTCGGCATTTAGATGAGCTCTGCAGGGATCATTCTGGTAGCCTATGTGCATTTTGTTTTGTTTTTAAAAAGCGTTTCACCTCCCGGAGCTTTACTGTAGGGCCTCCTGAATTTTATGAGAGATTGCAGGGACACCGGACAGACTTTTATTCTCTAAAAGCAGGCTGTCATTTCTCATCGTAAAGAGCTGGATTTGTTATTTAGTCGAAACACTGAATCAGGAGCGTAGTTCTCTCTGTTTTAAAGGCTTAAATGAGCCGATTCTATTAAATGATCAATGAGCCGATCGCGTCTGTCAGTCATTGTTGCTCTCCTTTATTCCCAAGCGTGAATGAAAGTTTCCGCTTTCAGAGTAAAATGTCAAAATCCATCTAAAAGCGGATTGGATTTAATGAAATAAAAATGGATTTTGTAGATATTCTTAACAAACAAAAAAACAGGTTTATAAAAGTTGCACCGAGAACTCAAAAGCAGACATTAATTTGCCAATCATATTTATGACTTTTAAAATGAGTCTACATATAGGCACAAATAGCTGCTCTGTTATCTTAAAGGGAGGGAACGCCTATAGCCCCTCAGCCATATAGTTGTAGTAAATCAGCTGAAAAGAGACATCACTTCATGAATTTAATTTTCGCGTTCAATGGGGCGTCACAAACAGAGCAGGAGCAATAAAACTAACGTCCAATTAGCAGCCATCTATTCTCAGGGACCAGTTAGGCTATTTGTTTATCTGCCCAGATCTCAATACTGATCCGCTTGTAATCTTCTTATGGAAATTGACCGGTAGCAGAAAGAGAGCGAGAGAGAGAGAAAGAGGGAGAGAAAGAGAAAAAAACACACACACCAGGAGTAACCCGGAGTTTGGTAATGAGGGCCTCTGTGCAGCTAATTTCCTAATTAAGGAACGGAGGACCACCAGCACAGTCTGCTCTGATTCAGACTCAACAAGCCTGACAGCCCAAAGGGGCTCTCAGGGCGCACGACTGCAGGATCCCACTGTTGAATGTTGGGAAATATGTGGATGCCCTGATGGGAGGATATAACCTGCATGCAATCAGCTCGATCGAGGATAATTTAATGTTTAAAATAATGGATTGACTGTGTATGTGCATGTGGAGGGGGGAGAGGGGGGCACTATTTCCGCCCAAACCATCGAGTCTTGAGGAAAAATCTATACAATTTGTAGTTTTTCGTTACAATAAAGGTGCATCGGATGGTTGAAAGCAAGTATTTTGTTTAAATCTGACATTTATGTTGACACAGCATTAAGTCTGGCGACTATACTTGACAGGAATCACAGAAAATAAAGGTTTCTGTTGGAGAAGAGGTATAATTGTGGCCTTTGGGCCTCGGAAATAAAACAAACAAAAATGTTAGTTATATTTGCAGAGAGCTTTATGGGAATTAGGATCCATTCAGGTCGACTAATTGACACAAAATGGAATTAATCCCACCTTTTGAAACCGGTTTAGTTGTCTGCATGTCCGCATCCTTTGCTCGGCTGTCAATGGGGCTTTATGGTCAGACCATTTCAATTCACGACGGACAAAATGAGCTCAACTTTAATATTATACGACGAGACACAGGCGCTGCATGTCTGCCATTCAGCTACAAATAAGTAACTGATAATGGCTTGTAATTTATTGCTTTTTTTATTGCCCATTTTATCGTTTATAGCCAAGTGTTTTTTTTGTTTTCATCACATTTTTGACTATTCCCAAATAGGATAAATATATTTTCTTATAATCGAAAGTCGCATCTCAATCCCACAATAAACAACATTATTTTACGTGTCCATTTTAAACCCTACGACCCCGAGAATCAATAACTTTTTTTGTTTCAGCTCAGTGACTGCGGACAAGGCCTTTGAGAAACAGTAATTAACAAAGAATGGGTTTTCAATTACAGCCACAATGGAAACTGTCTCATTAAGATTTGCATGATTTTTGGACGAGGAATGCAAATGAAGATGCAATTTACGCACGGTCTGCTGTTCCTATTGTGTCGGCGTGAATGGTTGCGTCCTCCCAGTTCAACACAGGTAAAATAATATTCACGGGTCATTTAAAGGAATAAAAGTGCTGCTATTATCACCTCTTTATTTCACAAAGCAGGGCTAGTATTCCTGATGGTAATTTGACTTATTTGACCCATAAGAGTTGTCGTTGACAAATAATGCTTAACAAAAAATAGCCTTAAAATGTTTAATATCTGTGTGTAATGCAGAGTCATGGCTGAGGGGACATTTTTACTCTGTGGGATCTTTGTTGTTTTATTTTTAAACCGTTTGAACATGTTTTATATCACATCTTTGATTCACATATTTTTTATAATGGCCATGGTGCATTCATTTGTGTCAGGAAATTCTTACTAAAGCTGCTAAAACAAATTTAAAGGCCTCTGCAAAATGCATTTACAGTCCTGGATGCTGCTTTGGAAAATTCAGACATCAATATTATGAGTTATTCTAGCAAACAAAACCTTTTTTTTTTTTTACTGATTGCATCTTGAAGGATATATGTGGCATATCTGTTAGGAAGAAAGCTTCACCTACTAAGAGTCTTTGATTTAGTTTGAAACATAGTCAAAGTAATGTATAATAAAGTATAATACTTTTTTTTCAAAGCGTTAATAATAATATAAGAATATTTTTGCACTCTGCTGCTGCTTTAAGTCTTTATTTAAGAAGAATTATGGCAAAATAATATTTGTTTTCATCTAATTCCTTTTTATTATGTTGAAAAATAAAATATGATTAAAAACCTTGATGGAAGGAGGATGGAAACCTTGAAATGAAAAATCGGATTTGTTGAAGATGTGTTCACTACTTCAGAAGGAGAATGAGAGTAAACTCTACCATATGTGCATCAGGACAGAGAATAAATAAAGGCCAGGTACTGATATGCAAGAGAAATAGGATTTTCTTAAGTGCTGCTCTGTGTCATCACTTTTCAATTGTTCCAGGCACTATGTGGAGCTTTACTTATCATGAAAGAAAACGGGGAAAGGATGAAGCAGGCAGATTAGTAAACTCACCACATGTTGGGATGCAACCCAGAGGATCATCTCTTAATGTGGGCCCATCTGAGGCAGTGAAAGCGCCTACATTCAGTCATTAGGTGAGGGGACTGTCACTCAAACCTTCAAAAGAACCCAAAAACACACTCTCAGAGGGACAGATGCATCGATTTTTCAGGAGAGCTTTAGTGGAGTGTTGCAAGTCTGTCAGGAGGACTCGAGGCTAATGGAGAACGCGGCATTCTTGCCTCCACTGTAGCAGAGTAATTTGTGTTTTCATTGTGGTGGCATGGGAGTGAAGCCGAGAAGTGATATGTCCACACTCAGCAGCCACCTTGTTCAGCTCTGTGGAATGTAACCATCTTACTTACTGACCTCGGCTTGTAAAACAACATGCAAAAAGCAGCTTGCCTCCTGTAGATGTCTTTGAGGAATGCTTCAAACTTTAGCCTCTTTTTTC